AAAGGCAGAGGCTGCCTCAGTTTGCATGCACAGAGCTGCAGAGCCAGAGGGTCCTGAGGCTGCACAGACCCCACAAGTCTGCAGACAGCAAACACTCCAGGTGCCACGCAGTTGGTGACCTTCTGCCTGGTATAGGAGGCTTTGACCTCTACAGAGACATGTTCACACGTAGATGCTTCCTGCAAGGTTCAGAAGGCAATGACATGGATGTACAGCCTCTCCCACAGACCCAGCCTAGCAATGGAAGAGACCTGCCCATTAAGCCCAGGGCCAGGATGACTCTGCAGCTCAGCATAGAACCACAGAATGCTTTGGGTTTGAAGAAACTTTAGTGAACATCCAGTTCCATCCCCTGCCCTGGGCAGGGACACCTTCTACTAGACCAAGTTGCTTCAAGCCCTGTCCAGCCTGGCCTTGGACACTTCCAGGGATGGGGCAGCCTCAGCTTCTCTGGGCAACCTGTGCCAGTGCCTCATCATCCTCATAGGGAAGACTTTCTTCCATATATCATTCCTCCTTGCCCTTGTCCAAAGTCCCTCTTCAGCTCTCTTGGAGCCCCTTTAGGGACTGGAAGAGTCTCTAAGGTCTCCCCAGACCCTTCTCTTCTCCAGGCTGAACATCCCTACCTGTCTCAGCCTGTCTTCATAGCAGAGGTGCTCCAGCTCTCTGAACAACTTTGTGACCTCCTCTGGACTCAGTCCAGCAGGTTCACAAACTTCTTGTGTTGGGAGTCCCAGAGCTGAATGCAGCATCCACAGCTTCGCCCTCGCCTGGTCTCAGATGATTCGTGGCAGGGAAGGGAAGTGGGAACCATTATGTTTCCTATGGGAAACTATTCCTTTGCATAATGAATCTCCACCGAGGAGATCACTGCTTTTCCTATGGGCCCTCAGGGACTTCCAACAGGGCAAAGGAATTCTCCAGTGTTTGGCTGCCTGTGCTGGAGCCTGGGGGCAGGCAGGCTCACCCCCAGGGCACATCTTGTAGGACTGTGACAGCATCCATATAAACTGTGCCCAAGCAAAGAAAGGGACACATGAATGGCAATGTGACCAGAGCTGAACACCATGTAATCAGTTTGAGAACAGAATTCCTGGGGGACGAAGATGTGCCGCACAAGTACCATCACATCTACATCACCTTCCTTCCTTCCTGGCATCTTCAGCACCCAGAATACACCCCAAAACACACTGAGGTGCACTGGCTGCTCTCTGCACAGCCAGGGACAGAGCACACAGTGGGAGGGGGGCAGCAGGCAGTGCCTGGACCCCACTGCCCTCCCTGTGCAGGCAGGAGGCCACGCACACGGCGTCCTGGATCAGGCAGCATCTCCACGAAGGGACATGATTGTCTCCCCCACACATGCTCCTTCCTTCCAAGTCCCTGGCGCTGCAGGTCTACATTTTTCCAGATTATCTCATTTTTGGCACCCGAGTTCACAAACTGGGACTCTGCCTTTCCCACTCAGCCCCTCCATTTGGTATCTCAGGCTCTAGGCAATTTCCCATTAAAAATAATAGCAAGAACATTAAAAAGACTACCCATAATCTAGCCCAAATCTGTCAGCTGGTTTTAAGGAAACATTTCCCTCCAGCTTTAATCTCTTTGTACAGTTTAAGAGCAGTGCTGCTTGGGGAATTGGAAACAGTGACTCACTGCATCTCCACTCAGCCCTGGGCTCTTCACTGCAGGGAGCATCGCTGTTAATAGTTGTCCAAATCCCTCTAACCCCAGCTCCAGCGCAGCAGCCTTACACTCGTGTCATCTTTGCAGGACAGCACAGAAGAAAAGTCACCCCAAGGCTTGTGTGGCTTCACATCTCCATTCCTAGGTGTCCATGGAGGCTCAAGGCATGGCTGGGAGGGCACTGTCCCAACTCATCCAGCTCTCAAGAAACCCTCAGGATTCCTCCTTTGCAAAGGGCCCGCAGATGTCTCTGGATGAAGTATTGCTGCTTCCACAATAATTCCCTGTTCCCCTCCTTACAGGGATGAACCAGCTCCTGTCACACTGGTGCAAGCACTGCACACCCTGCTCAGACCTGCCCCATCAGCAGAGGAGAGGAACAGCCTTGGCTGCCAGCTCTATCCTGTGCCAGTGCCCCAGGACTGGGAGTGAACCGCTGCCCACGGCAGGAGCTCGGGAGAGGTCACCACCACCCACAGGTGGTCATATTTGGATATTAAGATTTGGTAAGTCCTACACAGCAAAGCCTTCTGCAGTGCCTGAGGCTGTGGGTTCAGGCACAGCCCTTCTCCTCACCTCATTTTTATGTTTATTTTTAATTGCTTGTTCCTCTTTTTGCCCTCTGCATGTTCTCCCCTTGCCTACACCCACTGCACAGCCCTGCTCAGATATGTCTGGGCAGCTCTATCTATAGCAATTCGTATCACTTGGTCCTCATCTGAGGAGCACAAGGCACCCTGGGGACATGAAGTTCAGCTTCACCCAGGATGCTGCTGCAGTGGCACATTGCATTGTGATGGGTACCCGAGTCCCACCTCCCTGTCACCAATGGCCAAACTCAACATTATACCAGCAGAAGCACAGCCAGTGCTCCTCAGGGAGTGCAGGAGAACACAATGACTCAGAGAGGGAGAACAGGGATGGGGAGGAATATTTCTTGTCCCAGGAAGACACCTCCTGCCCTCCTTCATCTTGAGAACCACAGCTCCAGAGCAGGCTCAGCCCACACCACCAGCCGCGCCACCCTAACGAAGTTCAGGGCTATAATTACTCCTTTCCTTTGTGGTTTGCTCTGAACTGCCAAGCTCTCTGTAACTGCTCTTCTCCTCTGACTGGCCTCTTCCTGCACAACACGCTCTCCTGCATACCTCTGGCAGCAGGAGAGGGGTTAAGGGCAAGGCAGCTGAGCCTGACAGCTGGGGAGGGCAAGTGCCAGCACAGGAGTGAGGGCAGCTGGAGGCAGCTGCCTGCACCCCCTGATGGGCTGTTTGCACTGGAGAACCACTGAGCAACAGGATCGAGGGGTGTCCAGTGCCACGGCAGCACCTCTTGGGTGACCCAAACCCTGGGAGCAGGACTTGCCACACGTGTGGTCTCTGCTGCAGACATCAGAGAGCCAACAGTTGCACTTGGGGGGTTGTGGTGGGGCCAGAGCTACAGTGGAGATGGTGAGTGTTGGCAACATGCCTGCACCCATCCACGGGACACCCTGAGGGTCCCTGTGCAGCCTCCCCAGATCTCTCTGTGTCCTTACAGCAGCAACCAGGAGAGATACCATTCACCAACCCACCATCACCTCAGGGTGGGTGTTGTGGACCAAGGGGAGGAGTGCCCTGAAACAGGGACCTGTGTGAGAGGTCACAGCAACTTCAAGTCACGACAATGGAAGAGGTAGAGATGACCAAGAAAGAGACATGTGCTCTGGCAGTGACTCTGGGCTGTAGATTTGTGCTGACACAGAGGGAGAAGGAGACAGAGCCCTCACAATCCATGTAACTTTGTCTCCTAGCTTTCATGGCAGGGGATGGGTGGAACTAGATGATCTTTAAGGTCCCTTCCAAGCCAAACCATACTGTGATTCTGTGATTCTTGGAGACATTTGGACTGAAAGCCCCTTTTGTACCAGGACCAAGGCTGGCTCACACTGCAAGGCAGACCCCAGACAGCTGGGCTCATGGGTAACACTCGTCCCAGCAGCTGTCCTCCCACTTCCCCCACCCTGGGCAGCTGGAGGATTCAGCAGCTTACACAGTTCTCTGCTCTTAAAGTGCCCAACCATCAGCAGTTCAGAGCAGCCCAGACCCAGCAGGACAAGGCTGAGCACCCACCCACAGGAGAAGATGGAACTCCTGAGCACCACACACATGGCAGCTGGGGACAGAGGTTCAGGCTGAACCCCATCACTGGGCTGGGCCTTAGAGCTCAGTCATGCCCAGCTCGAGAAGGACCAACTCATAACCAGCTGGAGGTGTTGGTCCTGCCTTTGAAATCCAGCTCATAACCTAAATCATACACAGTGAGGGAAACCCACTTGAGTACTACAGGTTTCATCTCAGCTCCATTGCTGATTTCTGATTTGATTTTAGATCATGCACATGCCACAGCCTGGCCTGGCTGCAGACCCTGTACAGCCCTGTGACTGTAGGGCTGCACCCAGGGAGAGGGGATGGAGCTGGACCATCCCATGGAGGGGTGAGACAAAGGCACATGGTCCAGCTCCAGGGTCAGGCACAGACCTCCCAGGTCCTGGATCAGCCACCCCCACACCACCCCACAGCCCCCAGAGAGGCAGAGGGATGGGCAGAGGAGGTGGTGTCCTCCAACCAACCGCTGCATCCCTCACAGGAGACAGCTCACGGGCAACAGGGAATGGAAAAATAATTAACAGGCCAGAAGAGTGAAAAAAAAATCTCCAAAACATTCGGGAGAATAAATGATGACTGGTGGGGGAGGGAAGCTGGCTTTAATATGGGATTAATTGAAAACAAGATAGAGCTAATATAACCCAGGGCTCCAGTCTAATAGTGGCTCTGGTCCATGATGTTATTAGACTTTGGCTCCAAGGTCAAAAACACCCTGACTCCTGCTAACAGAGAGGCAGTTTCAGCCCCACAACCACAAGCAACAACACTGAACAACGAGCCAACCCAACAACACTTCCACAGCCACCGCCTTTCCCGCACCTCGGAGCCTTTCCAGGATGCTGTGCAGGCTGGTGGGGCTGCACACAGGGCCTGAGCTGGCAGAACTGTCGTATTTTGCAAGCACCCAGGCTTTTGGCATTTTCTCTTTTCTTTCTTTAGAGGCTTGATAGCATTTCTTATTCAAACTGACAGCTCTTTCAGCCAGGATAAACCCAAGGATAACAACCATGCATGTAGACACATCAGAGCACAAATCCAAGACCAGCCTAGAAAGGCATCATCACTGCCAGAGCTGAAGGAGCAGCACTAAGCACTCGGTGTCCCCACACAGAACCCGAGGCAGGTATCAGCCAGGGTTTCACCCCAGCAGCTGCCCAGAGTTGTACTCACCTTCCTGTCTTTTTGGTGGGCTCTCCATCGGCACCGGCTGTGGCTTTGGCTCTGCCTGGGGAGGCTGGGTGGGCAGGGGAGGCTCTGAGCTCTCTGCCTGCCGTGCCGGAGGGGCTGGGACCTCGGCAGCCTTCGCTACCTGAATTTCCACGCGCTTGGTGGCCGTGTCAGGCACAGGAGCGTTGGCTGTCTCAGCTCTTCGCTGGGGCATCTCGGGGATCTTTGATGGTGGCGCCTCCACCCTCCGGAGACTCGGCTCCTGGGGCTTGCCAAGGGTGATCTCAGTCCTCCTTGAGGTGGGCTCGGGGGGTTTGTGGCCCAATACATCTGCTCGTTTGAGGCCAAACCTTGACAACCCTGAGGTGGAGTTCTCCACCTGCTTGGATGAGATGTCAATGGAGATTTCTGTTCTTCTGGACACTGGCTCAGGCAGTTTGGGTCCAGAGAGCTCCACTCTCCTCAGAGGGGGTTTGGGTGATCTTTGGACTGTGGGGTCCGCATGTCGGGCGGATGGTTCCGAATTCCTGGCACCAAGTTCCTGAAACTTCTGTGTGGAGCTGGACACAGTGGTCCTGAGGAGGGTGTTCGGGGCCCGTCTTTGTGGCGTGGAGGAATTTGATGACTGATCTACCTCCTCGACCTCAAAAGATCTTTTCAGAGCTGAAAAACATGAAATAGAGTTCAGAATTTAGTTCCCATCCAAATCCATATAAATGCAGCAAGAAAACCAAAGGTGGCAGCCACAGAAGCTCATATCCTTAAAAACAAACCTAGAGACCACACAAGCCAAAGACTGAAATGCTTTGAGAACGGGAACACGAGATCCTGACACAATGAAAGGGCCAACTGGGCCCATCAGACACTTGGTCCACATAGGACCCAGCCAGGTAGACACAAAAAGCTGAACATGGGAAGAGAGGGAAAAGCAGAGAACTGCTGCTGGATCCCATCCAAATGCCACAGGCTGCCCATACCCAATGCATCCTGCAACACCCAGGCAGACACAGAGACAGAGCAGGACAAGGCACAGCCCTGGGGTCCCAAAGGAGCCTCCATGAGGTGATGCTGAGCCGGTGTGATGACACTGCTATTAGCCAGCACAAGCATTGGTCATGAGTCCACCTCTCCTTTACATCAACGGGATAGTACCAGTGGGACTTAGCAGTTAAAAACCTGGGTCTGAGAACCCACAGGATACCAGGATCTGAAGCAGAGACTGAAGCACAGCCTTCCCTTATCCTGGGATGTCCATCCACCCCTGGGGTGGAGTTGGAGAAAAGCCACCATGCAGGAATCATCTCTGCTCCACAGCTGCTTCGAGCCTCTGGGGCAGGCCCTGGAGACACGGGACCCTCCATCCCTGCAAAACCAGCCCAAATGGGCACTGCAGAGCCTGGGACCAGGAGCCTCCCCAGGATACTCTGTACTAGTGACGTGGCAAAAGCTCCTCCATGCTCAGAGACAGACAGACGTGCAGAGACACACATTCAGGTCCTCCAGCTGTGGTTCAGACTCTGATACGGGAACTGCTAGGAAGCAACAGGTGCCTGGGATGGGCTCCCAAGGTAGGATTTCTGGCTGGCATGGACAGGGAGGGATGCACAGAGTGATTAATCTCAACGTGAACCTGATGGGAACAGCATCGTGACTGCTTGATGGCTATGGAGAGAGGAAAGCACCAAAGCACAACACAAGCCATCCACCTTGCAAAACCCAGGAAGAGCCCCAGGAAGGGCACTTAGTAACAGAACAGTCTGTCCTGCATCTCAGAGATACTCAGACATTGGTAGAAGGAGGGAGGGAGGCAGTAAAGAAAACTAAAGATGCTTTTTCCCCAATTTATCTGCTCTGTTTTCTGACTTCCATGGAGCCCTCTCAGCCATGTCATCACCCACTTGCAGAGGTGAGATGCCCTCTGCAACAGTCCCTGCTCTGCAGTCTGTGCTTGGCACAGCTCGTGCTCTGCAGATCTGCATTCAAGACTCAGTCCTCAGCACCCCCAAGATAATTAATCAAAAAAAAAAGTCCCACACTTGAGAGCTGTTTCAGTCTATCCAAACTCTCAGGTCTCCAGGACTGAGCTGGAGTTCAGACTCTTCAGCACAAACTTTTCTATAGTTTTCCTTCTCCATCATACACTTCATCCAGACACTAACAATTTAGCTATTTTTTCCCCAAAAATCCCAAGTTTAAAACAATGCACCAGCCAAGCCCTGTTTGCATTTTGCAGGAAAACAAAGAGAGCGGAAGGGACGACCCGACAGGGAGCCCTTCCCTGGCCTTGAGCAAAGGTGGGTGGGCAAGAGCAACAGAGGACATGGCCCAGAGAGGCACTGCCAGCTCCCTGATGGAAAGGATCATAGTTCTGTCCATGTCAGGCCCTTTAAAAACTGCTCACCCCTCCTCCAGCCAGCCAGCTCAGTCTCCATCTATTCCCTTCAACAAGCAATCCAATAACCTCATGACAGAAGTGTCTGGAGGAATGGTTTGAGAGTAAATGCTCTCAAGAAACCCAGCAGCAAAGGAAACACCGGCGAGTATTTTTCCTTAATGAACCTTGCCCTGGAGACCTCTCAGTACCAAGTGGTTTGGGGATTTCATTCTGACCCACTAATGAGCTTTGGATACAAACAGCCCTGCTGACCTCCCAGGGTTCGTTGCATGAACCATTTCCATCATTTCAGCTCCTCTGAGACCTGCTGCCATTTCCTAAAGAAATGGTCAGTCACCCGATGGCAATGGCCCTTTCTTTTGACTTCAAACCTCTCAAACTGCCTCAAGCCCAGAGTAAACCTGCCCAATGCCACCACCGTGGTCTTTCTGGAGCACAGCCAGTCCCTGAGTTTATCAAAGGGCTGGATTGAATACAACACCCAAAAATGGCTTTTCTCCAGGTCTATCTGGGCCCTGCTGCAGAAAAGAGCAAAAGGTCAAAGCCCAGACACAAAGGGGTTCAAAAAGCCTAAGGGAGAGCTGCAAAACCACAATTACAGCTGCAGGAGACCTGAGCTGTCCAGATAACACCTCCTGTGCCAGCGCTGCGGTCCCAACAGGCAGTACTGAGGGGCTGGGCAAGGAACTGTTGCCCCAAAGGAGGGTTAGAAATGGCTCAGCACAGTTTCTGACAGCAAAGTCATGAGGACCTCCAGGTCCCAGTGGCATTCTCTCAGCAGTGTCACTGACTTGCCTTGACAACCCAAGACGCTTTCCACTCATGGTTCTCTCCAGGGTGGGATGTCCATCTTGTGCCTCTGGTTGCATGGGGATTTTGGTACCTACCTTGCCCTGCCATCAGATTTGGCCACTGCCCTGAGTGGCTGGAGGAGATCAAAAATCCCAGGCACAAGAAAGGAGAAGGACTGTGACCAACAGGGTTTGTGTCTCCACCTCTGAGACTCACTGCCATGAACATGATCCTCAGGGTTGTCACCCTGGTGAATGCCACCCTGAAAGCAATGATGGTCCTCAGAGGGGCCAAGCACAGCTGCATCTTCCCTGCTCAGCATCGCCTCTCTCCTCCTTGTAAAGAAAGAGAAGAACCTCAGGAAGCAAAGCAACTCTCAAAAAAAGAGAGAAAACTTAAAAATAGCCTGTCCTGCCCAGAGCCAGGAAAGGAAAGCAAACAGCCTCTGCTCCAGATGACCCTCCTCCCAGCTTCCTGCAGGGAAGAGTACATATTCCTTACAACAACAGGAGCTGAAGGCAGAGCAGTGCTGCAGGGCCCTGCACCCCACTCCCACCTGTGTGCTGCTGGGGTCCCATGCTGGCAGTTGTGGCTAATGCTCCAGGTCCCTATATCCCTGACAGCCTTGCCCAAGGTGTCTCTGCCCCAAGTAGTGTCAGTGCTGGCCACACTGCAGGGTTAGCCCCACTGTTGTATTTTTCCAGGGGATTTCCATCACTATCAGGGCTTCCCCAACCCCATCAGCAGCATCCTATCTGCTGGCTGGTGTTGGAGGCAGCTGGCAAGGAAAGCAGTGTTAGTGGCGATAACTGCCCTTCCTTCTTTTCCTTTGGAGGTGTGTGTGCATGGGCCTGAGCACAGAAAGGCACCACCAGCAGCATGTGCTTCCTTTTAACCAATTCCAAACCAACTCAGTCATCTCTGACTCAATCCACCATTGCTGAGGGCAGCAGTTTCCCTCCCATAGCCGGGAAAGCCTCAAATCCTCTGAGGGCAGCAGTTTCCCTCCCATAGCAGGGAAAGCCCCAAATCCCCTAAAATGAGATTTCCAGGTGCTTCCTACTGGATGCAACCTCTCCCCCTGCCAGTCTCCACCCACCACCATTGTGCCAGAGCTGGGAACTGCTCACTGCAGTGTCCCTTTGGGGGATAGACCTTTGCAAACCTCTCAAGGTCGTAGCATTCTGCTCAGCATCATACAGCCATGGCCCCAGTCTGCATGGCCAACTTTGAAAACACCACTGTTAATCCTGCTGGCTGAGGGAAGCACAGGCTCTCTGAGATGGCTCTGCACCACTGCACGTGCTTCTGAAAACACCCAGTCTTGGCCCAAACGTGGTCCCTGACACACTGGCTCTTTGAGGCAAGAAATGCATGTCTTCATCCCTGGCTCACAGTGCCCAAGCAAGTACAGGGCTGGAGAATGAGCAAAACATTTATTTTTCTTTCTATTTTGTGTGGCTGTGCTGGGGAAAGCTGCACAGCGTGGCCACTGCGTCCTCCCGGTCATCCCATGGCCAGGCACCAGCAGGTCACACGCCATCAGTTAAAGCTGCTCTTGAGGGATCTTGCAAACTGGGAAGAGAGGGCAGAGGTCTGGTTCAAATCCCAGCAGCTCATTCAACAGCCAAGACTGTTCCAGAGAAGTCACAGGCGAGTGGCACAGCTGGGGACTCCCATCCACACGCTGCTCTCCCAGAAGGTGAGTCCCTCCTCGGGGTCCCAGCCAAGCTAAGGGTGCCCAGATGCTGAGAAGGGCTCTGGCTCCTGCCCAAAGGTTCCACAGCTCCTGGTGGGAAGCACCAGAGTAGATGGCATGCTGTTCACCACAGCTCATCCTGTCCTGCAGCCCAGCTCTGGACACCCCAAGGGGGTCAACAAGGGAACATCGGGAACATCTGCTCCTTCTTTCTTCCCCTTTTAAACAGAATATCCTAGTAACAGTCCATGGGATGTTTTATACAAGGAAACCTCTATGCACAGGGCTCAGGAGAAGACCAAAATAAACAGCAAGGGATGCTGGCTCCTCTGGGACCTGCTTCCCAAATGGAGCCTCCGGCTCTGCCGCAGCCACAACCCCCAACTGCTTCCCATTAAGCATCCTCTGCCCCTCACGTGGTCTCCGTAACCCAGGGGTTACATTTGCTTGCTTGCTTAACCATAGAAAGCTTTCCTTGGGTTTTTTTGACACATAAGAGCCTTATGGGACCGGGGCAGCCAGGCGCCCCGTTATTTCCCACCACACAATGGCACCGTTTGAGAGCACGGACTTTCTCTAAACTGCTACCAGATGGTCACCTCCTGTTCCCAGGGAGGAAAGGGGGTAGGCTGCAGGTCTCATCTTTCAAGGAACTCTTGGAAACCCAACACAGCATTAACCACTCACAGCCCTTAAAGCTTCCCAGCCCCCTGACACCAGGCAGCAGGATGCTCACAGCAGTTTTCTGGCCCAAGTTGAGTGCAAGAAGTGTGTTCACCCATGGTAC